TTCGGAATAATCCACGTTACACTGTAGGTTCCTGTCTAGTCAGTCTAAAGTGTGCAAAAAATGACCGTAGAGCGACAGACCAAAATCAACTAATGCTCTCTGTAAAATTCTCTTTTTTCGAATTTCATCACAAAAATCAATAGAATTAAAATCTGTACTCTGATATGAAAGACACTGTTTAACTATAAGCGCTTTTTGCTTGGGATCGTTATCAGTTGGAATATCCGATAGTTTTGCATGTCTGGGGACTGATGGTCGAGTAATTAACTCTCAGTAGCACAGGTTTCGGTTTCGAGTCCTGGAGGTGCCATGAAAGTGGTTTTGGAATCCATTTTAAACAGATGGTACCGGTCTAATATGACCGCAAGTGGCAAACAAGAGTTTGGATTTAGGGCTAACAAATCTACCCAGTAAAAAGAAAAAAAGTTTTCAGTCATATTTCAAAATGTGGCATTAGGCAAAAGACCTTGGATAACCATGGGCTGTTCAATCAAATATGGTGATTTACATGCCTAATTTATTTGCCGATTCTTTTATTTTTCAGTTCGTTCAAATATATAGAAAATCCCGTGGTGTGATATTTATAAATACACAATTGCTCACCCTAGAAATCGAAAACACATACCCAGACCATCTCCTATTAGCCTCCATGCTCTGTGTAATATCTTTAACATCAAACTCTATTATGACTTTTCGCCAAACGTTTCTTTTTTCCATCATAACCAAAAAATATTAAATTCTGATTCATTTGAGAATATTACTCTTTTTTCAGAAATAACCCCTGCTTTCAAAAATTTATCTGGTAACCAAGTTCTTCTTCAATGGTGCAACAACCCCATGGTGGACCAAGGCCACCAGCCCACTGGCAGATTTCGAGACAGGGAGATGTTTACTTTTTTACAGTCATATGAGACCGGGACCTTCGGAAAGGATTCCGAACCTTACAGATATCCATGGCACCGCCTGAAACTCAAAAACTGTAGCACACAGCTACAGAGTGCTAGTCACTCGGCGATTAGGCCAATAAGTTAATAACTGGGTTTTTTTTCCGTAAATTTGACTATTAAGACATTCCTTTTCTTAATGCTATTCGAACACATTCTGGATTGATACTTTTTTGTTTCAAGTTTTTGTCTATGTATTGCTTTTGGCTATGCGCTGTTTTACGAATCAATTCGATTTTATTTTCTTGATAACTTCACTCTTATTCCGACCACTCAACTTTAGCTATCTACCGGAACATGACTTGCTCTCAGTGAAGTTGTAGCTTTTAATAACTGTATGCACGATAAAACGACTTTTCATATAATTACACTTATTATTAATACGCTTTTATTAGTTTCACCTGTATGTTTGTTTGTTTGTAACTAACTCTTTGGGCTCGATTTTACCCTATTTTAACCTACTTTACCTACTTTTTTATCAGATTTAATTTAAACGCGTGGTCTTATCAAGGACGCTAAAATATTTTGATAAGTTTATTATCTCATAGTGATTAGGATCGCCAGGATGAGTGATTTTATTTTTTAACTTATGAAGAGCAATTTAACCCATGTAGAATGAAAGTACCCAAAACATGCAAACCTTCGTGGGACAATGGCACAACGCGCCTGACTACGGATCAGGAAGATTCCCTGTTCGAATCTGGCTGGCTCGACCTATTCGCATTTTTAGCCTTTGTTTTATTCACAATTAAATAATTGTAAGAACTATAGTTCCACTCCTCCGTACCGGGACCTCATTTAAATATTATAGTTTAAAAACACTAAAAAACACGCTTTTAGAGTGAATCAAACTAAAAAGTTAAAAATAATTGTTAACATAAGAATAAAATGAATATCACTGTTCTAAAAGCGCGGGGTGCTTTGTATGACATTTTAAACTAACTCTGCATTTCGGAATGAAACGAGTGAAAAGTTATAACGATTGATATCGAGCTCCCACGCTTTTAGAACAGTGACATTCATTTTCTCGTCAGTCATTTTTATTCTTATGTTAACAATTATTTTTCACTTTTAGTTTGATTCACTCTAAAAGCGTGTTTTTAGTTTTTTTAAACTATAATTTATTTTTTCAAGGATTTCGAATTATTTTTCAATTTTATCATAACTCCCGAAATATCTGTAGTAGTATCTGCTCTTGAGTAATTTTTTCAACTATTTGGAAATAAATCATACCAAAAAATATTTATTAAACACTTTAAACATTTATTAATATTAGAAACACTGTAGAAATTTTCAAATTTCCTATCAATTATTGGTTTGGTTTGTCACTCTACTGTCAGTTTGTGAACACTTTGAGCTAATTAGACCGGAACCTGCAGTTTAACGTGGGAAATTCCGAACCACTCAAAAACATTCATGCCATCAAAAGGATTCGAACCCGGAGGCCGTGGTACCAAAGGCCAGAGCTCTAGCCAATTGACCCAACAGGCCGCACCCATGAATTATGTTGTATGCACACATACATATGTTTAGAAAATGGATTGATATATAATTTTTAAAAATACAGAATAATTTCTTCGCTAGTTTGAAGTTTGTTTTATCGTAATATATTTTTAGATTTATAGTAGTAGTTGAAGCCGAGTGATTAGTGCTCTGATGCATGTTGTAGTGGTCTCTATGATTGTTTGTAGTGGTTCGGAATTCACTTTAAATCGTGGTTCCAGTCTAATATGGCTATAGAGCGTTGGGCGTAAGGCTGTTACCCTACCACCCTACCGCCGTACAAAGAAAATATCCCCTGTCTCGAAATCTGTCAGTAAGCAGACTGCCTTGACGCATGGGGCTGTTGCACCAATGAAGAAGTGTGGTTCACTCATTGCAGAATTTTTTCTATAGAAAATGATAATTTCCATTGTATATGTAGATGTGTATTTTAGTGTACTAAATTAATAATTTTCGTATAATTACTGAATTACTTATTTTACTTAAATTAATAATTTTCTTATTTCTAAATATTGTATGCTTAAAAGATATTCTAATTACATAAATAGTCGCTGGATAAAAACAAGTGAATACTCTAAGCAAACTATTATTTTTTAATGTTAAAAAAAAAAATTTTTTTTAGAAATAAATGTTTTTGATATGAAAAAATATTAAAATTTTAAAATCGAAAATTAAATCGAATTTTAAGATTGAAATTTAATTTTTGAAATTCTGCTGTTAATTTTCTAGCTGGATAAGCTAGAAAAAGTGGTTGATGACAGGAAAAAGAAAAAGTAGCTGACCATGATTAACTTCATTGGACGGGGCAATTTTTGAAATTCCCGGATCTTAACATACTGCTTATTCTATAATGCTTTTGAAATATTTTGACCGAAAAATCTTTATTTATCTATTTTGTTACTTAAAAAAAAGATTTACAGTAGGATTGGAGATATTCTAATTATATAAATAATAATGCGTAAAAGCAATTGAATATTATAAATAAACAATATTGTTTAATGTGAAAAAAAAAAAATTGGAAATAAATGTTCTTGATAACGAAAATTTATTAAAACATTTAAAAATTAAGATTTTTCTTGTAATTTGCAAGAAATTAAGAAGAAAGAATTGCAAGAAATAAATTAGCTACTATTTCTAGCTATTAAGCTAAAAAAGTAGCTGACGATGTAAAAAAGTAGCTGGTCATAACTAACTTCATTACGCGAGGCAGTTTTTGTTAAAATTCTAGATTTTGGGTTTTTAAATAATTTATCTTAAGTGCAATTTAGTATTTCTAACTGGATATATTCTAATTACATAAATAATTGCTAGATGAAAACAATTGAATATTGTAAACAAACGATTTTATTTAATGTGAAAAATAAATAAAAATTTTTGAAATAAATGCACTTGATATGAAAATGTTAGATAGTTTAAAAATTGCGATCTAAATTTTCTCTAATTTTAATGCTAACTCAAATCATATATGAAACTCTTGCGCGATTTATCTAGGCTTAAAATATATTTTTAGAAGCTTTACGTTTTGAAAAATGCAAAATCTAATGAATCCCACCGGCTTATTTGGAATAAATTTGAAATATTTTCTGTGTTGCAATCCTCTTAGTTTTAAAATTATTTCTATTTCCTTAAAATTATTTTAGTATACATACACAGACGTCCTGACAAACTTTGGCATTAGCTCAAGTACGTACTACATGCTCATGCACAAATCAATTGCTTTCTTTTCCAATTACAAACCAGCCTGGTTGTGTTTTCCTGCAATTTTCCTACGGTTTTTCCTGCAAAATCCTGCAATTTTTCATTTAAATAAATAAAAATTCAGTAAAATCCTCTAATGCTTCTCTAATTTCTGGAAACACAAAAGAGGCGCTATTGAAAATTTTGGAGTGGACCACAAATTCCTCCAAAATTTGAAACCACCGATTTTCGATACAGGCATTCATAACATAGACTGTTGATGGTAACATTCTTCCCGGGGAGCATCTCGATTTACGTCCAGACTATCGATATTAATCAATTACCATCAATATTATAACCTACCTCTTCAACCACAAATTAATCGCGGAAGGCTTCTTCTTTATAATCAAAGCATTCAGAACGACCCGTTTATAAGAAGATGCAGCTCAGTTTTTTTCTGCTCATTTCATGCGAATCATTCATAACTGTTCCAAAATTGCACATCTCAAATCGGACGACGGAAAATTTTCCTCGACAGGTAACCTGATGACCAACTGGCTAGCACTCTGGCCTTTGGACAGGCTTCAGTTCGATCCTGGCAGTGGCATGGATGTTTGTCAGTGGTTTGGAATATACTTTAAACTGTAGGTCCCGCTCCGCTTAGCCCTCGTGTGCACAAGATGACGGTAGAGCGGCATACCAAACCAAACCTCCCAGTTTCTTTTGACCAGCTTTCAAAAGAATGTATATATAGAGAGAGATAGATAGTTCGAAGTTGGGGATAAAGGACTGGAGTGTAGTCTGGACTCAAGTACCCCAGAGGCTCTGTGGCTTAGTGGTTATAAGAATTGTTTCCAACGGCCATACCATTTATCCAACGGCCATATCATGGTGAATATACCGGTTCTCGTTAGATTACCGAAGTCAAGTGGGCGCGGTCAGTACTTGGGTGGGTGACCACCTGGGAACACCGCGTGACGTTGGCCTTCACAAATTTGGAACCTGAATGGCCGAGTGTCTAGCGCTTGGTGCCACAGGTTTCGGGTTCGATCCCGGCGGTGCCATGGATGTTTGTAGTGGTTCGGAATCCACTTTAAGCCGTAGGTCCCGGTCTCCTATGACTGTAAGAGCGTTACGGAGCCAAAGTCAGACTTACCACGGGTGCTCATCACAACAGAAGCTGATTCCTTCCCCTTCAATCATGAGTACGTATGGGCTCGTTGGCTTGGCCATCAAGTGGGATAAGAAACAACAGAATTGTTTCCAACAGAATTCGTGAATTTGGATTTGAGATTTGGGTAACCATGGTAACTGATTATGTACCCCATTCATCATTACTTCCAGACCGTCCATTACGCTACAATACAAATATGATGAGTGGACAAAAGTATCCCAGGTAGTCTCTGATTCAGTGGTTAAAACAGAATCGTCTCGTTCAGCAGCAGAATCATCATCATAACTGGCTCGACAGCCGTCTTTAAAAAAGATTCCAGCCCGACTGTTCCCCTCTTGACCGTGGACCTCCAGTTTTTTTATCTTAATAACATTAAAATCAGAATCTAAACAGTCTCTTTTTTTTCTTTGGTCGCTGTCCAAAAGGGGTTTATTGAAGACCCTCAAAGCATTTATTTTTCCATTCTCATGAGATAGTTGAACATCTCATTCTGTACAGTCTAACAAATTCTAGTATATCACAATATCTCTAAAAGTTTTGTAAAGTTCAAAATTGTACCTTCTTCAATTTTGCATTGTCACTGATACCACCAAAAATAGTAGTTCGTAGCACTTTTCTTTCAAAGATTGCCGACATTTTCTCTTCCCTTGCTGTTAGTGACCCTGTTTCAGACCTATGTTAATACTGGTCTTATGAGAGTTTTGTACAGTGAAATTTTAGTTCTTCTTTTTAATTAGGTGGGATCTTAATTGGCTTCTAAGACCAAATAGGCAGCGATTGGCGGCAATAATTCTCTTTCGGATCTCGGGGCTGATTTCATTTTGATATTCAATCTCAGATCCCCAGGAAAGTAAACTTTTTAACACTTTGAAATCTACACAGGCCAGTCACATTAATTCATTCAAAAGCAGAATAACCACCTTTGGTAGAGTTGCGAGACGTGCAGGAAGAGAGTCAATTAGGGATTTAAGGTGCATATGATCCTGAACCATATTCATATAATTATTCATGAAAAAGATGGTCACATTAATGTGACTGGACTGTGTATGCTGCTCGACTTCAATGAAATCACCAGAGGATAGTCTCTTTCCCCAAACATGTATTTGGTCAGCAGCAAAATTTGTTATTTAACCCTAATTCTATCACATTTCTTTGCATTATAGAAGTGCATCTTGTACTGGCACTCCTATCAATATCTATTGTTGTAGGTGTCTCTTTACTCCACCTCCTTTAAAGTATTTCAAGTCTTTGATTCTTTTTATATTTTTGTCCAATTCCTGTGGTCCTTATTTCTAATCTTTTCGCTATTTTATTTTTTGTTTTGTTCAATTTATTTATTTATTTTTCAATTCCTCTTAGTTGCCTATACTATATAACATTTTCAATCGTTCATAAAATACTCTTTATTCATCCACTCTCGAAGTTCAGACACATTTTTTTTTTTAACTTGCTGACATTTGCTAATACAGGTTTTTCAAATATTAATTCTTAATTAAATTTAATTCATTAATTTTTAGCTTTTTTAGATTTAAGGCATATATCTACCCATAGATGGCGCCTGATAAAACTTAAAAAAAAAATGAATGAAAATTTTTTATAAAAGACTTTCTGCATTAGTAGTGAAAATAAGTAGGAATTGACTTTAATTATATTACTTGTTTCATTTTCTTTTAAGTATCTTTTACTATACTAAATATCATTCATTCTGAATAAAAGCAGATCTGCTTGAATGAAAATAAATCCTACTGAGTACTAAAATTATGAAAATCAGAAAATGTGCCAGTATTTTTGAGGCTTATCCCTTTTTAAGATTGCTTTCAGTTACTTTAATTGATTATTTTTATTATAAAAATAAACTTTTACTATTTAAATAAAATATGTGTACATTTATTTACAGTTGTATAAAAATATTTAAAACTGTTTGCTAAATTCGATATTAATCACAAGTTAATAAATTTTTTATAATATTCGTAATTATCCATTTACTTATCGGAGCTATTGTAATGTAACATTGTAATAATAAATATGCAAATGGATCTAGTGAATGTGGTAAATGCATCGTTAAAAAAATGGTAAGCTAAAAAAAGTAGATATTTGTTTTTAATCTACTCTCGTACCATAAAATCATTTCAAAATTTTTTTCTTTTAAATAAACAGTTCAGAAACACATCAATTATGAGCTTCACTGTGAGCTATACAATATATATATATATATTTATTTATATATATATTTATATATATATTATTATTATTATTATATTTTATATATTATTTTTTTTTATCTAATGTATAAATTTTAAATTTTACTTGTTTTTCGTTTATATAAATTCCAAGTTTAAATATACGGTGCTTTCAAATTTTGGCATTTACATAGGCTATGGTCTACATAAGTCCATTGACTAATATAAATCTTGGAGATCCCTTGATTTCTACCCCTTGAATCTTTCGATTTAATAAGAGGTTTAAAAAACAAATATCGAAAAGTAGGAACAGCAAAATATATTTAATTTTAGATAAAAGATACTCGAAAATTCAAAACTTTTCTGCACACATTTTACGATTTTTTTTTTTTTTTTTGAAGCACATAGTTATGTAAACAATTCTTTTCATGCATGAAATTGAATAAAACGGGTTACAGATCAAGGTTAATTAATAATAATCTACCTGCCATAATGAAATTGCTTGCTCCAGTGTTTGAATCTGATATTGAAAAACTATTAAATGGAAAGCGCTGCAAGTTTCCGGTAAAAAAAAATTTTGGTTTTATAAATATGTACATCAATTCTTCTTCTTCTTCATAAGCGCAGCGGCTCTCTATGGTGGCCAATACCGTCTGCCTACTGGCAGATTTTCAGACAGGAGATGTTTTTATTTTCATGGGGTAGAGTTGTTAAGGCTCGTTCCCACTGAGGCGAGAAGTTGTAAGCGAAAAATTTGACTCCATCACCAGCCCTCACCACGTTCGCCTGAAACTGGTTTGAAATGCACCGCACCGAGTTGACCCACTTTCAACTCGAAGCGGAACTTCACTTTCAGGCGTAATGCTATTTCTGACGTTTCGCTGTGAAGGGGTCGAACAAATTTTTCGCTTGCCTCTTGAATCTTCGCGTCTCTCGCCTCGGTGGGAAGGGGCCTTTAGCCCTACGCCCAACGTTCTACAGTCATATTAGACCGACCTACTGCTTAAAGTGAATTCCAAACCATTACAAGCATGCATGGCACCATGGAAATTTGAACCCGAAAACCTTGGCACCAAACCCCAGAGCTAATCACTAGACCTCAAGCCCTAAGTTCCATTTTAATAAATCAGATTGTCATTTTTCAGTTTGTTTCTGGGGAATTCTCTTGCATCTGAATGTGAATAGCGTTTAGGCGGGAAAACTATTCATGATTTATACCTGAAACTCATCTTTTATATCATCATATATAGAGATATAAACTGATCATGTTCTAAACGTTGGACCTGGCAGAGTTGGAAAAGCATTTCTAATTAAGGTAAATGTGGGAGGGATAAAAACTATAACTTCACAACCGTCTAACATATGTTATTAGTTGCTTATCCCATTTTTTGGTAGACAGCCACATCCACACCAGGTTCAAGAACCCGTTTGGTGTCATGGATGGTGGGAAAGGGCGGGGGCACTTCTATTGTGAAGGATCAACCGTACGTAGAAGTCTGAATTGGTTCCGTGACGTTGTCTTTTACGAAGTAGGGTTGTCATCCCTAACCCCAACAGTCATACTAGACCGGGATCAACGTCTTAAAGTGGATTCCGAACCCCTAAAATCATCCATGGCACCCTGCAGAACTCGAACCTGAAACCTGTGGCACATAGCATCAGTCACTCCTCGGCCATCAGTTCCACCTTTAGCATATATTAAAAAGTTTAACTGCAAAATATATTGCCAACAACACGCTGTCAAAAGTGTTTTACTGAACTTGTGCATTAGACAATTGTAAAGAAAGGAAGCCCACTTGTTCTTATTCTCTCGGGCCTGCATGGCCGAGTGGCTCGCCCCGGGCACTCGGTGCCACAGGTTTTGGGTTCGAGTTCCGCCGTGCCATGGATGTTTGGAGTAGTTCGAAATAATCCACTTTAAATCGTAGGTCTAGATCTTATAGGGCGATCTTATAGGGATCTTGCAGAGGGCATTGTTACTCAGCGTCCGTGGCTTATCTTTGAGTTACACGCGCCCCCTGGGTAATGCAAAGTGAGTAAACGTCTGTGCAGCGCTTGCCATAAGGCATTCAAGACCAAACTGTCTGAGTGTTTGCCAGCTGCATTAGAAAAAAAAATTCTTATTCTCTCTCAACCTTTTTGTTGTAAACAGCTTAAAGCGCAATTTCAGGAATGATTTATACTCAACATTAGCGGTGCGTGGCTGTAAAATCAAGTTTTGTCATTTGCATGCTGAATCCAAAAGAGTGTTTTCGAATCTTGGTCCAGATAATAGGTGCTTTGTAATTTTCTTGTTTATTTGCCCCCAGCTCATAGAAAAAAAAAAACAAAATGAAAGCAAGATAAACAGCCCATACAAACAAAATTAAAACAAGATAAACAGCTCATACAAAAACAAAATGAACACAAGATAAACAGCTCATAAGTAAACAAAATGAAAACAATATAAACAGCTCATAAACATCTGTTTGTAGTTCAGCAGTATTTCTAATAAAGTGGTGGTAAAAATTCAGAATAGCTAAAGATGCCCATAGAAAATGTAGTTCCTTCCACGGTGCTGGAACAACTTTTCTTCCATAACAACTAGATTTTTCATGGAGAAATTCCCGGTTGAGAAATTCTAAAAAT